TATCTGACCAAATTCAGTTCCCACTGTCCTCCAGGTACTAACTGCTCACTGGCACCTGTCTTCAGCAAGAATCTCAGTATGTGAGTTTACCCACTAACTCCACTTATCTTAGTAACCTTCCATTTGCCAACCACCTCATCCTGCTTCCGGGGCTAGGAAGTTTCCCTTTGTTTTCTTGGAAGATTACTTCAAACTCTCTTCTGCTACAAAACTCCATTGTGGAAATCCCTATGTAAATTAACAAAGTTCTAAATAAAGTTGTGCCATTTGTTTTAATGAAATGTTAACAGTAATACTTTCTTGACCACCTGTAAAAACTGAACGTATGAGCTAGGCGCCAGTGGTTCATGCCTATAATCCTAGCTACTCAGGAGGCTGAGATCTAAGGATCACAGTTCAAAGCCAGCCCAGGCAGGAAAGTCCGTGAGACTCTTATCTTCAATAAACCACTGGAAAACCAGAAGTGGACCTGTGACTCAAGTGGTAGAGCACTAGCCTTGAGCTGAAGAGCTGAGGGACAGCGCCCAGGCCCAGAGTTCAAGACCCACGACTGACAAAAAAAAACTGAATGTATAGAAAAGAAAAATACTCAATGCCTCACAAATTCCCTTCTTTTTTAGGTATACAGATATGTATATCTAAAGGTAGAATTTATGTTTGATAAAGGAACTGGGTAAGAATTGTCCTTAAACACTACTGAGCTGGATGGTTAATATTACACATTAAACGGATTATGCTGCTAGTAACATTTTATATATATATATAAAACAAATCAGGCACTGGTGGCTCACACCTGTAATCCTAGCTACCCAACTCAGTAGGCTGAGATCTGAGGATCACAGTCCAAAGCCAGCCTGGGCAGGAAAAGTCTGTGAAACTCTTATCTCCAATTAACTACCAAAAAACAGGAAGTGGCGCTGTGGCTCAAGTGGTAGAGCACTTCCCTTGAGCTGAAGAACAAGCACCCAGGCTCAAGTGGTAGAGCATTTCCCTTGAGCTGAAGAACAAGCACCCAGGCCCATGACCAACAACAACAAAAAAACTAGGGGACCAGTTAACTTTCAAAGAGTTAGTGACTAAAGTCACCCCAGTGAGCAGCCATCTGATCTACTGAAAATATCTTATTTTTTTAATCTCAGTGCTAGCTATGCAAGAAATTAACACTTCTCAAGCTAAATGCTACTTCAGATTTGTAACCTATGTGCTATTCTTTAATAAATTCATTTTAAACAATAACAAGGATGTTGATGTGGTTTAAAATTGTTTTAGAATTGGCAGAGGATTCTGTAGCTATTGTTTAAATATTCTCAAAGTTGGAAAGACAAATTTGGAGTATGGTTTTAGTTTGACATCTGATCGAACTAAATTTGGATTAAATCAAAGATGAGACAAACCACCACTTTTTAAATAGCAACTAATGCTGTAAAGGTGCTTTTCTTGTGTATTTATAAATGGGCTCATAAGGCAGCTCCAAAATACAACTTGAAAACTGTTACAGTAATGACAGCATAGCTAGAAATAAATTACACAAATCCCCAAACACTGAACGGGCAGGAGGACAGTAAGCTGGAGACCCTCCTGGGCTACAAAGCAAGACTAAAATTACTTAATTAATTAAAAAGTAAACATCATCAACAACAAAAAATAATGTTTTCTTTTAAAAAAGCCCTTAGGCTGGGAAGGTGGCTCAGTGGCAGAGCGTTTGTCTTGCATGCATGAGGCCCTGGGTTCGACTCCTCAGGACCACATAGGCAGAAAAAGCCTGAGGTGGTGATGTGGCTCAAAAAGGTAGAGTGCTAGCCTTGAGCTGAAGAGCTAAGGGACAGCGCCCAGGCCCAGAGTTCAGGCCCCATGACCAACCAAAAAAAAAAAAAAAAAGAGCCTTACCAAGTAGTAAATCTTCAATGAAGATGAGGAGTCAGAATTATAGCAAAAAAATATACACTCAAAATAGAAAATTGTCTTTGTTCCCTTTTATAAATCTTACTAAGAGTTACCAGAAGATGAGCAGGAATGGAATAGAGAGAAGAGGTACAGGGAATGATAGAAGTAGTAATCCAGCCCTAGAAAATATAGGACAGTGCAATAGAGACTGCTTTGGTTTAATTTAAGAACAAGTATAGAATAGTAAGATGACTCTGGAGTATTTCATAGCTTTGAACCAAAGTTCACCATGTCAGAAGTATCCTTAACCCAGAGAAGTGGCTCACACATGTAATCCTAGGTACCTGGGAGGTAGAGATAGATTATAAAATCAAGGACCAGCTTAGGCATGAGAGAGGAGAGAGAGAAGAGAAAGGAGAAAGAGGAGAGAGAGGAGGGGAGGAGAGGAGGGAAGAGGAAAAGGGAAGAGAGAAGAGGGAGAAGAGAGGGGAGAGTGAAGACGGGGGAGAAGAGGGGGAGAGAAGGGGGGGATAGAGAGTCAGAGAGAGAGAGAGAACTCATCTCAAAGAATAAGCCAGTCATGTATAGTGGACATACAAAGTCAGCCCCAGACAGATGCTCAAGGCCCTATCTGAAAAGTAAACTAGAGCAAAAGGGTCTGGAAGCATGAGTCAAGTGTCTGCAAAGAAATCTCAAAGCATTGAGTCCAAACCCCAATATGGGGAGAGGAGCAAGAAAGGAGACACAAGAAATGTAATATTCACTCCGTGCTATTCTAATTTTCCTTGAAGAATTTAAGTCTTTTCATTATTATTTTGTCTGATTTCATTCTGTACTCCTTCACCTCTACCACTCAACCAAATATAGGAATAAACCAATGGTCTGTGACACCTTCGTGAAATTACAGCCAGTCTTACTGTTTTATTTCTTCCCTTTGGGGAAGAAAGGAATCCATCCTGGTCACCCAGAAGGGCTTATCTCCAATTCAGCAGAAAATCAGAGCATATGATTCCAACTTTAACAAGCTGGCCCAGTCATCCTTGGAGCTCAGCTTTCAATCTTTAGAACACCCTTTCCAGAAGAAGGAACACAACACATGTAGACACAGCATGACACAGAAGTAGCTACCACAGAAATTATTTTTCAAGTCCAAATTGGAAGATTAGCACAATTTTAATTTTAATTTCAAGAGAGAATTACCAAAACCTGTATCTGACAATACTAAATGTCATGGCTAATTACAAAGGAAATAAATGCTATCAGAAAATCTCTACACAGAAATGCTTTTTTCTCATTTGGAGTATGCTATAGCTACCTGTTACCTGACCTCAAACTCTACATCTCACTTACCTTTAATTTCACACACTGCCATCTTTATACTTCCTTTGCTCCCTTTGCAAACATCATCCTGTGAATCATAGTAGGATAGGATTCCATTATCTAAAACAAACCAGCGAGGCTGCCAACCTGAAAATACCATAAATAACAAAAGGTTAATAAGCAATTATTTTATCACACAAAAAAACTGTGATTTCACAGCTGAGGTTACGGCTCAAGTGGTGCTGAGCAACTGCCTAGCAAGCCCAAGGCACTGAGTTCAAATCCTAGAATTATAGGAGTGAAGGAAGGAGGAAGAGAGGAAGAGAAGAAGGGAGGGGGGAGGAAGAAGAAAAGGAAGGACAGGGAAAAGGAAAGAAAGAAAACTATCATGATTCCAAATCTTACCATACATAGTATTTCTTGGTTCTCACATAACATTCTAAAATGTGTGTGTCAGGGCCTGGGACTTGGAACTCAAGACCTGGACACTGTCCCTGAGCTTTATTGCTCAAGGTCTGCAATGTATCACTTGAGTCACAGCTCCAATTCTGGCTTTTGGTGGTTAACTGGAGATAAGGGTCTCATAGATCTTATTCTCCAAAGTAGTTTAGGACTACAGGCTTACAGGGCCACAGTAAGCTTAGGACCACCAGCGCTTAGCTAACAATGTAATGTTTAATGGCCAACATTTTCCCCAAATGCCCTTGTTACAATCTCTTGTTGGTAAAAAATTTTAGACTGGGGCTGGGAAGGTGGCTCAGTGGTAGAGCACTTGCCTTGCATGCGTGAGGCCCTGGGTTCGATTCCTCAGCACCACATAAGCAAAAAGAAAAAAGCTGGAAGTGGCACTGTGGCTCAAGTGGTAGAGAGCTAGCCTTGAGCTGAAGAGCTGAGGGGCAGTTCCCAAGCCCAGAGTTCAGGCCCCACGACCAGACCCAAAAAAAAAAAATTTTAGATTGACATAGAGCAATATTTTTATTCTAAACTCACAACTTTCTCTGTAACAATCCATAGCCTCAAACTACAGCCCTACACAGAGTTTAACATAACTATCTCTTTTCCTTAAAAAAAAAAAAGTTTGAATTATGAGGTATAGACTCTGTTTCCCTTATTCAAAGTGCTTGGAATCCCCAAGCATATGAGATGTTAGAATTTGTATTGCATATAAATAAAAAAATATCTTGGAAATGAGAACAAAACCTAAACAGGAAATATATTTCGGTTTTTTGGTTGTTGTTCACCTTATTCACATAGCCTGTAGGGTTTTCTGTGACCAGATACATGAAGTCAAGCGTGTAATTACCCACTGTGGAATCATGCTGACACTCAAAAAGTTTTGGATTTTGGAGCATTTCAGATTAGGGATACTCATGTAAAATAACAGAAAAATGCTATGAACAACAGGGATTTGAGTCCCAGTTCTACTACTATTTTTGTTGGATAATCTGGGACAAATCTTTTCATTTCAATAAATCCCTAAAATTCCCAGTGTCCAAAACAAATAGAGCACAGTGACCTCACAAGTAAAACTTAGCCCTTTAATTCTGCAATATGACCTTTGCTTCTCTTATGAAAGATGGTGCCAAAGCAAAAGCCCTTGCATAAAGTAAAATCTAAAAGAATTATAGTCTTTTACACAGATTCTTCCCAGCCTCCCTTTTCCCATCTTTGCTGCTGTATGGCTAAGGCAGAAGTGCTAGAGAAACGTCACAATCAGTCATTTAATTGATAGCTGCCCAGGAACTAGAACACAGGCCACCACAGAGTTGGCTTTTAGGTAAACCTGGTGACAGGATGATGGTTTCCTCTAGGCCCAACTCCCACTCTTCTATCAAGCAGCTCAATGTACCCTGAAATTTTATCAAGCATGCAACTTGGTCAGCAACATACTGACCCTGCTAGAGGCAGTATGATTGTCCAAGTCCTTTCTGTAACTAATTTTTAAAATCCTGGGTGCTTTGGCAGCATGCTACACAATGAATCGATTCAGTTTTTTAAGGACCAGGTAGTACTATGATAGGACAGATGGGTGAATCATTCTCAAATCTTCACAGAATTTAGCACCCCTAAAGGTTGTTTTTGTTTTTTTAACTGAAAGACATTTGAAATAGTGCCATCATCTTTAAAAGGTTAAACCTAACTTAGTATACCTTAAGAAAACAGATTGTAGCTGGGTGCCAGAGCTATAATCCTAACTACTTGAGAAAGCTGAGAATAAGCATACTTGGAAAGCTAAGAGCTATAATCCTAACTACTTGAGAAAGCTGAGAATAAGCATACTTGGAAAGCTAAGAATAAGTGGAACAAAGTTCAAAGTTAATCTGAGCAGAAACTCCACCTAAATGAAAGGAAGTTAAACTGGCAACCTGTCATCCCAGGCTAAAATATGAGGATCATGGTCCAACGAGACTGTCTCCACAGGAAACAAGACTCTGTCTCCAAAACAACTAGTGAAAACAAAGAGAGGCACATGCCAGCCTACCATATATGAATTCAAACTCCAGTATCACCATGAAGGATGGGGGGTAGGGCGAAGGAGGGAGCGGCAGGAAATGCATAATAGTTCAGAAAAAGGGATATAATAAATTATTTAACTAATTTTTAAAAATAGAGCGATGCCTGGAAAAGTCATGGCTATAAACACCGTATTTCCTGGGGCTGGGAAGGTAGCTCAGCGGTAGAGTGCTTGCCTTGCATGCCTGAGGCCCTGGGTTCGATTCCTCAGCACCACATAAGCAAAAAGAAAAAAGCCAGAAGTGGTGCTGTGGTTCAAGTGGTAGAGCGCTAGCCTTGAGCTGAAGAGCTGAGGGGCAGCATCTAGGCCCAGAGTTCAGGCCCCAAGACCGGACCCAAAACAACAACACCATATTTCCTAAAGAGGACTGACAGGTTAAAAAGTAAACTCTTTTGAAATGAAAACTTTAAGGAAATGTATTTCTCAAGTGACTGAAAAAATGATGAAATGAATATTACCTTTCCAAATAAATCATTCTGACAAACAAATCATTAAACAAGGTGTGGTGAAAAGATAGTTCTCCACTCCAGGTTTCCTGCCTGGGCCTACTGGGCATACTATGATTTTGCAAGCCTGCATCATTGTAATTACTATCTCTTTAAAAGTGTGTAAAGTGATTCATTTAGAATTTGTAGGAACATGAAAATGGCTGAATATATTCATCCAATCAAGTTTCTTAATTATTGTTACACACTTTTGAAGAGATACTGAGTGTAACAAGGCCTGATTCACACATTTATACAAAATAGGACTATTCCTATAAAGTAAATTCATAAGATATTCCCTTTTAGAAACTGTTTGAAAAGGATAGTTTTTCTCCCTCAAATTACCAGTGTTTCTGAAACACTTGTTCTCATTTTTTTAAAAAAATCTCAAATAACACTATCATTACACCAGAAGGCTTCTTAAAAACCACTTAATCTGAATAGATGCTCAACTTTCTGACCTCAAGTGAGCTAAAATTAATAATTAACATGCTATGGAGCCAAATCTAAATTTTAAAAATGGAATTCCTCCAAAGAAAAAACTTTTTCCACCCAAGTGAAAAATGCTTAGTAAAAAAAATATTTGCCTTCTGTTTTAAAAGTTTCCAGCTAAAACATGTCATCCATATATTTCTAAATCATCAGTGTGTCACAAATATTAATGAACTGCTACAAATCTAGCTTTCACATCCTAATTAATTTAAAAGGGACAACTACTACTTACGCCTTTATATAGTTTACGTGTTGCTTTGGCACAAGATCAGGCACACATTGGGGTACCATATTCAGGAGCTCAAGCCTTTTTGTAGAATAAGTGGGCAGCAGGACATGATTTGCCAATTATGCTGGAACAAGAAATCTGTTTACTATTCGAAAGTACTTTAAATTCATCCCCCTCCTTCCACTTTGGTGACATGTTAGGTTTTGGAAGTTGGAAGACCCTTCCAGGATAAAACAGTTGATCACTCTGGCCTAGCTGAAGGAAGACAGCAAAGAGTGCACTACAATTCTAAATACAAACTGCTGTTAAGCCTAGTGCTGGTGGCTCACGCCTATAATCCTAGCTACTCAGTGAGATCTGAGGATGAAGTCCTCAGAAAAACCCGAGGAAAGTCTCATGAGACTCCATCTCCAATTAACCACAAAACCACAAAAAAACTGTTGTTCAAGAGGTCAGGGCTAGCCTTGCGTAACATAAGCTCAGGAAGAGCACCTAAGGCCCTGCCCTGAGTTCAAGCCCTAGGACCAGCAATAACAATAATAGCGATAATAATAAGTGTTTTAAAATTCACATTGCTTTTAAAAGCCAGGCCAGCAATCCCATTCAGGGGATCCGCTCCCCACTGGCCTCTCACTTCTACACGAAACACTTTAACTCCTGGAGCTTTCTGCTAAGTCCTCCACAGGTAAGCCCCAGGGGCCTGCTCCCTTCCCGCGGGCCGCAGCTTCTCCCAGCAGGTCACAGCGTTCGCCCGAACCCCCAAGCCTCGGGAGACCTCCCCGGACCCCAAGCGCGGGGAGGGTTCTCCGGAGCTCCGCGGCCCTACGCCACGCGGCGCGGCAGCAACCGCAACAAGTGGACTGCTACCGGGGAACTTAAAACGGAAAACACCTCGTGAAAAGGAAGCCTGGGCCACCACGGGCCCATTCCAGGCCCACACCCCGACAACTTAAGTTAGGAGCAGACACAAACAACACCGACGACGACGTGTGCCAGTAAAATCAGAGACGGCCCCCCACACCGAGGGTGGCCGGGAAATGTCGCCCGGACTCCAGAAGGCCACCCCAAGTGCTAGGACTCCGGCAAGAAGTGCTCCGGGAGGCACTTCCCACCCTCGAGCGGGGGGGCGCGGTCTCGAACCCCCCTCCCGCCGAGGCCACTTGGGCCCCACCGCCGACAGGAAGGAAGGAAGGCCGGCATGCAGCGGATTCGCTACGAGGGCCGCCGCGGGCCTAGCCGGGGACGAGGGGGCCCCGCGCCCGCCATCCCCGCGGCCCCCCGCACCCCCCGCGGGCGCCGGCGCCCCCGT